CCCTGAATTAAAGAAATGATTACAACCCAACACTTCGGAAGGGTATACCCATATCACTAGGGATTTGGGTAACCTACTTCTATTTGTTTCCCTATATCCAAAGATTAGCCTTGTCTACTTTATTTAGATTTATTTTGGTTTTGTCTCCGAGACAAAAAACTCCTTTAATAGCAAAGAAAATTGTTCGCCGGCAAAATCTACTAGCAAGGATGGTCAAGGAAAGAGCGACACACGAGTCTAAAACAAAGTTTATTTCTGACTGGCAACATACACAGAGGTCAATCACAGCTTGAGACCTGCATATTGCGTGACGGCCGCATCTCAGTGTGTTCGTTCGCATGTTGATCCTGATTAAATTCAATCGCCGCACTATTGGCGGTTGAAAAAGCGCCTTTTTTGGTTAAAAATAATGTGCATTTCAAAGGTTATCGATAGTCACCAAGCGCATGTTTGTACAAGGATCTTTAGCGCGTGAATGCGGTATTGTATGTCGCTATAACTGCGGACTCGGATAAGACAGTCTGTTAGGAATTGCGACTATTTTAAGAGACGTATTGTGTTTATATCGAGCAAAAGAATGCTTTAGTTTATTGAGACAAAGCTTCGTAAAAGATAAATGGGTTTTGAGCAGAATTATGGATGATTTCACTTCCCCCAGTTTTACGCTTTCAGTGTTTTGGGTATCCCCAGTGGGGATACCCAAAACACTAGGGATTTGGGTACCGGGGTACCCAAAACACGGGAATACCCAAATCACTGTGACACCGAAAGGAGTTCTCTTGGTGGATCAAGAAGTGAGAAGTCTGAGGCGAGTGCTCCAGGTGGTCCACTTGGGTGCCTGCTCAAATCGCACCATACAGTCTTTCATAAGACGTGACCAAAGCCATCATTTAACTGCCTTGAGGCAAGGCTTTGTCTCTGAAATGTTTCTGCAACGACAGGCGGGTTGACAACAGACTCCGCAAAACAAGCTTATTTTAGCGCACCGAGCGTCGCACCGTATACGCCCGAGCGGCACAACAAAATGGCCTACCACACGAGTGTCATGTCTGTCACGTGACCCACGAGGGGGAGGGAACTAGACTAGTGCTTCATGTAAGCATACTCATTTCAGTTTCCAAAGATCCGTATTATCAGTATGCGGAGAAATCCTTTCGATGCGTGCAACTGATAGGGTAGTGCCAGTTGTCAAACATTGTGCCCTCAGCTGAACTATATTGAAGATCAAAGGTCAGCAAAGATGTGTTTTTAGCCGGCAGTCCCTTGCAAGTGTTAGACAGCTTGGTAGTATCCAGCGAGCAGTTCCACGACGAGAGCGGTATGGTGTTTATCCGCACCATCTTTTGTTCAAGATTACCCTTGATGCACCATTCTGGTGTTGTGTCCTCTTTAAATGACAGTCTGACTGGGAGGGTTGCCATGGCAACGGTTCCTGTAAGGGAAGAATGGAAGTTTTACAAAAATGGACTCGAGATATCGGAAGCCATGAAGAACGTACTCGTTAGAGCAACGCTTTGAAGGTCAACGTTTTCCTATCTTGACCAATAGGAGTCGAGTTTAGCCTGTCAATCAATAGTGCATTTCCGAGTTGTCTGTTGCTTCTGTCTCCAGCTCAAAACGATTCTTCATGCGAAAGGTGTTGCATGAGAACTCGTTTTGGAACAGAGACACAAGGTAACTCGGAAAGAGCCTAAGACACTTTTGTCTTTTGTTATTTTTAGAAGTGAAATCATCACATGGGGCGCTTTAAATGAAATCGTGCCGGCTTTCCGCAGAACATGCCACAATTTTAAGATTGTATGTGTGCATCTGAAGAAAAAATCTAAAGGGTGTTTAAGCTTTCATATGAACACATCGCAGTGGAAAATGTTGGCCGCTTTCGATCAGCTGTCAAACAAATCGGATGTTATGAAGAAATAATTAAAAATATAGCTTTTTAAAACCCGCACACTTGATGAAACAACGAGTTAAAAGGTTATTCTGAATTAGAACCGAAGGCGTATATTGACAGCAAATACCACCTTTTGTAAAGAATCCACTCTCATGGAACCACGTGGAGGCATGCCCGGATAAAGTGGCGTTGGTAGTGACTGCCTGTCCGATACGGACAGTCATCTCAACAGGGTATGAAAAGGACAGTCGGGGCAAACTGCGGGTGACTGTCACATCAAATGTTAGACGCATGGCTGCACACAGTCGCTGGATATAGAACAAGGGAGCGCACATTACCTGAAACGAAAAGGAAAACAAGGCGACACCCAAAGTGAAGGAGTCGTAAATTTAAATCAGCTCCTTTTTCAAATGCAGCGGTTATATTCTCAGTTAAATTTGCTCTATAATCTATTTCCTTAGTACCAGCTTTGCATTTCAAATTCTCTTAACCTGCTCGTGTAATATGACGACGATTTTGATTTGTGCCCAGTTTCCATTTTTCCGATTGGTGATCGAAGCACCCTGATCGAGCCGAGGCTAGAGGTCTGGAGTGCGTCCCTTCCCGGAACCCTCCTAATGCCGTGTAGAGGCCCTTTCAGGGGTTTTTGGAATACGGGATATTTAATTTAGGTGAAAAATTAAAAGGACAGAGATATTTGTGAGAAAAATTAATGGGATAAGGGATGTTCAGAACAGATTTCCCGGGATATCGAGTAGGAAAATTGATGGCTTTTGTAAGCGACATTTACGAGATACGGCTATTTAGGCCAAAAATTAACGGGAAATGGGATATAAGACCCTCCCGCTTGATGCCCTAATGGGGCCTCCGTTTAATCTTGCAGCTAAATCGCCTCCAACCGGATAAAAAGAGACTGAGTACAAGTCAAGTATTGACTTACGAAGTCTCCAGCGTTGATAGTCGACCGACTGATCTTCCGTTCTCCTTGGAGTGGTAACTTGTTCCGTAACTTCTTCAAGGTGTGAACTCGTGTGAATGGTGCCATGCGATACTGTCCAAATGTGACCCGATAACTAGTAGCTATTGACCAATCTTCACCGTTATCATCTCCATTGTCATCATCATTATCATCTTCGTCGTTAGTTTCAACCTGGTAGTCAATCTCCGCGCGGAAATCCAGCCCAAAGATGGATGTCTGTATAATACGGGGGGCCTCGCGCAAGGGCATTGGGGAAGAAGAAGCAAGTTCATCCCAAATCACATCCAGCTCAGGCGTTTTCTTTTCCATTTGTGAATTTCTGACAGTTTTCTTTCTCTGAGTGTGTTGTGATCTCTTCGTTTCTACAGACCTTCTTCGTTTCATTTCATAACCGATACCAAACGGTGCATAATCTGGCTGGGGCCAGTATTGTCCATTGTTATCGTCATCGTTATCATTTTCATCATCATTATCGTTATCGTCACCATCATCACTGTCCTCACTATAAAAGTTCGTGTAATCATCGTCATCTGCGTCCGACCTTTGCGCAGTAACCGACTTTGGAATATTGTGATGCACAATCTTTATCATTGAAGGAAGTTTCGTTGATCTGCCAACAGAGGTTTTGCTCAGTTTCATAAGCTCTTTTAATTCCTCTGTTAGCCTCTCGTTAGATTTGTGTTTTGGTGGCGCAAAATACATCAGAGAGGAGTCTTTTGCACTAGGAAGATTGAGTAGGTAGTTGATATCTTTCTCTTCTCGTGACGCACTCTTCCAAGTTTTGACTTTAGCGTGAGACTTATCTAGCAACTTCACAACGCTTCGAAATCTCACAGTTAATCCCAGACGGCTGGATTTGCTCTCTGGTGTGAAATCAGCGCCGATTGGAAGGTTGCAAGATAGAGACATGTCACTCCTTTTTACCATTCCAGTTTCCTTATTCACTACAGTAGTTTCGTCGTATGTTAGTTTCCACGACGCCTTCTCGGTCGACTTTCCTTTCTCGAGGCTGGAAAAATTCTCGAAGTCATCCTGCCCGGCCTGGGCTGTGACAGTCACCATATCACGTTTCGTAATCATCGTTTGTTTAACATGAACACGCCCAGGCAAAAATCCATGTTTTTCCACCACAGTTTTTCTAGAAGAGCTCGAAACTTTACTCAGCACAAATTCGTAGAGTTTGACTTTGATAGTGGGAAGAAGTTGGTGCAAGACGTTATGAACGTAGAATGAAAGCTCGTGGCTGGTTTTACGGTTTCCAAAAACTTTAAAATGGTTTTGAAGAGCGTCTTGAAAATAACCAAGTTCTGCGCTTCTAACGTGGGTAAGAAAAACGTAATCTTTGGATTTAAGACTAGTTTTTGCGTCCTCTGGAAAGCTCAAAACTATCCCAAACCAACAATGGCTTTCAGTTCTGTTAATCACATGCATAAAGACAACAATGGACGTATTTCTTGTGGTGATCTCGTTGCCAGTGATTGCCGTCATCTCCTGGTCAAAACTATACACCCGTACGTTGCCTTTCTCCAATTGAACTTCCACCGTGAAATTCTTCAAGTTCATCATAAACACGGCCGTGGCCACAGTGGCGAATAACAAGATCAAAGCCAACAAACTAAAGCAGAGCTTGGCGCAAAGGGACGTGCTATCTTTCGGAAAGTGAACGTTGGAAAATTCTACAGAATCGTCTTCCGTTTGGTTGAGTCTGCTATAAGAGACATCCTTGCGCTTTTTCGAAGACAGACAACCCGAGATGCCCGAACTAAACACATTAGCTTCGGACGGATTCATTTTGGAATATCGAAAAGAACGGTCAATGAGATTACACTTTTCCTCGCTAATGAATAAATTATTCATGCATAAAAGCTGGTGGTCTCAAAAAGTTGTTTTTTAGCTGTGTGAATCTATAACAACAATAGCTTGAGTAGCACGTGACACGTGTTGAGCAATATTAAAATTAAACAAACCGGAGAAACAAAGAGAAGTTTTACAATTCTGAACACGGAAAGCAGAAATAGCCTCATGCTTGAGACAGTAATTCTTTCAATTGACGTTAATACGCACAATTTCTGTTGTTGTTGTTTTTTTCGGTGTAATATAAGAAGCTGATGACTATCTTTATTCTTATTACTCGTTTGCTTAGTGGTGTATTGGCTTTATAAGAAGAAATTAGAAATTGATTATCTTGCTTTGTTTTCACTCTGTTATAAGGGTTGTCCCCCTATATCAATGCTCGCTTTTATACTAGAGGCGAACTTGGGCAAGGGTTGAGTGTTTAATCATCGCCTTGTAATAAGAAAAAGAAAAAGTCGGACTTCTATTTAACAATTGGTTATGAACTCGAAATTTTTATGAGGTGATAGTTGACTCGATTTCTTGCGCCCGCGTTCCTTTCGGATAAACAACCGGACTCCTAAAACGGCTGGAAATCGAGCCTAAGTTGACCTTTGCCGAGCCAGAAAAATACCTTTTCCATGTTTCTGTATAATGTAATTTGTGATAATCGTTATTGACATAAATTAATATTTTGCCGACACGGAAAGGAAAACTGGGTGCGAGCGTAGTACGCGAAGGCTCATGGGTAGTACGTTTGTAAAAAGAGACGGTTGAGAAACTTGTGACATTCTACGGTCAGCCTTGCCACTAGCACTTCCCCATAAGGTTTGTTTTTATTGTGTAATTAGCGTCATATAATTTGTTTTTTCATTCTATTGTTTATAGATCAACTAACGGTCTCTATCTTTTCCTAACAAGAAGTTTTTGGGGTTTTTATACGTGTCCGGCTTTGGTGCATGTAGGACGTTACTTGATGTGTCTCTTATCCACTTTGTTGTAAGCTTATTGTCGCAATTAAAACATATCTTGGCCCTGACTGACCAACGCGCCCATGCTTCAGGCTTTGAGTGTTCGGTTGTGTAGTGAAGGCAAAATTCGTGGAGTTACAGAAATACTCCTTGAAGTTCCTGGCCGGATAATTCAAAATAGCCGTGGAAACACCTGCGTGTGGCTCATGTTCCAACAGTATTTTCTTGTTCTCCCAAACTTCTACTTGTGTTTCTATTAAACAATTAGATTAGGAGCCCGAGATTTCTATCGCGTGATAGTTCACGAGGGCGCAGCCTGACACAGGTGAAACTATCATGCATGGAAATCGAGAACGAATAATCGAATTGTCAAATCTACTTCTCGCTTAAAACTTTATCTAAATCCTCTTCACGGAAACTTTGAAAACGCAAAGAAGCTGCCGCAGTTTTGTTAACCTCTCACTGCTTGGTTACTCACTATCTACAACAGAATAGAGAGTGAGTAGCGTAGCCAATCTGAGAACGACATTCGTGATGGAACGTGCGAAGAGTTATACTAAAACTCCGTAGAACAGATGATGTTCTCTACATGTTGCAAAGGGCATCTCGCTATAGCACGTCGTAAGATGAACTATCTGTCTGGGTGTATAATGGCGAACTTCTGACAAATTGTGCGTCTCAGTATGAAGAGGGGGACCAGGTGGGAAAATTCGAGCACACGATCTATCGGCCTGTGTGATCTGAAGCCGTGAGGTTGTCCACAAGTCAGATAAGGAAAACCATGAATACAAGGATAGATAGGAAAACATACACAGTATATGTACAATGAAACATTTATTTATTTCGTTTTTAATCCGAGGCTGGTTTCTTTCCCTGCTGTGCTTTGAGGACACGTACAACAATCTTCTGTTCCTCAATCAGGAAGGCCCTGACTATCCTGCAAAAAGACAACAATCACTGGTTAGTTCAAACAGAGTAACCTGAAGAAGTTCCTGTAGCAGGCTGATTTTTTTTTTTTATGGGAGGGGGTTGCTGGTCTAAGGACGTTCCCTGGGGTAGATCTAGGGGGTTCAGGGGCTCCCCTTGAACCCCCTAAATTACAAAAAAAAGACACACACAAACACACTGACTTTACCTCAGAATGCCGGAAATCTCATTCCCAAGAACTTCAATTCTAAAAATTGAATGGGGGAGGATACCCTTTGACCCCCTATGGTCTGTGGCAGCCACTCTTGGAAATTACTAAAAAGTTTAATCTGTTCATACATACAGTTAATCGCTAATTGTTTTTTGAACAGACTGGTCCTAAAAAACTTCCACATTAAGGTAAATACTAATAATAATAATAAAAAAGCAGCAGCTGAGTTTGTTTTCAATGTCCATACGAGAACCCATTCAAGGGCAACTGAATGGAAAGGAACCTTTTCAAATGCAACTGTTTGCACTGTCCAGTGACACAGAAATAATGCATGAACTGGGTAATAACACAAGCATGGTGGGTGACTTTCCAATAAAATTCTCAATTACAACCAAATCATGAACAGAAGATTAGAGAAATTTTGTGTTATAGCAGAGTTCTGAAAAAGGTTTGAAGAACACAGCTTTAGTTTTGGAGTAGGTGGCTGACTTTGCCATCTTTTTCATTCTTTTTTCTAAAGCTTCAGATAGCAGAGTAACCTGCCATGATCATAGACAGTCATTTTTTCCATCAGCTAGCTACCTTTGACAGTACTGGTTACAGTAGGTTGCACTGAATCATGGCCATTTTTTTCTTTAAAGGATGTGATCCC